TATAAAGCACTTCTCCCAGACTTAGTGATGTTAAGTGCTCAGAAAATATTAGCGGTGTGACTCTACAATTTTTTAAAAGATTTTATTTATTTATTTGAGAAAGAGAGAGAGCAAGGGGAGGGGCAGAGAGAGAGGATCTCAAGCAGACTGCCCAACACTGGCTCAATTTGGGGCTCAGTCTAATGACCCTGAGATCATGACCTGAGTTGAAATCCAGTCGTGCCCCAAGTGGCTATAGAATTAATAGCAGTAGTAGTAACTGCCAGCTGTCATATTAATAGCAATAGTAGTAGCCACAGTAATAAACATTGTAGCAACACTAGTAGTAGCAGTGCTGGTGGTCAGAGCAGTAAAGGTGATACTCAGTGTAGTAGCAGTATTAGTAGTAGGGCAGTAACATCCTCATGCCCTTCAGAAGTACAGAGAATGAATTCATCCTTGAAATTAAACCAAGATCAAATGAATTTAATTTCACAATTTTGAGTTGGCTTATAAAACAATTAAGATAAAATAGTAAATACCCTCATAATTCAAGCCACTCTGAGGTCTGGTAAAAGCAAGAGAGGCTGGGCATTTTGGCTGTAGAGAAGCACTTGCCTCCTGAATTCAAGAGTCCATCCTGAGGCAATGCAACCATGGGTCAGGGAAATTTGAGGAGAGAGACAGGCATTTATTTTGCACACACAGAATCTTCCGGCAATTTGCAGCCAGTGAGCACAATGTTGGTGATCCAGATGAAATTGCATAAGAGAATAGGGTGCCACAAACAAGACAGAACTGATTTATTTAGTAACATTTGGAAACCATTTATAGAAGTCGTGTTCATTTACAGCCAGTGCTTGGGGCTGAAGGAGGATGTGGCTTATCCATAGTTTTCCCCATCCTGAGAGAAAATGGGGTGAAAAAATAAGTGGATCAAAGGAAGAAGTGCTTTCTTTTAGCATCAGGACTTTTCATAAAGGTATTAAGATTTCCGTATTTCTTTTACATGTATTCTGTGTGCTGTTTGCAAAGAATAAAACGGAACAGCCATTTATTTCTGTCTTGAACAATATTTGTTAGGGATCAGGCATTTTCTAGGCAGAAAAAATTGATATAATTTATTTGTGAAAATATGATAACTGATGTTAAATGTTTTTTTTTTTAATTTTTTTTTTTTTTTTTTTTTATTTATGATAGTCACAGAGAGAGAGAGAGAGGCGGAGACACAGGCAGAGAGAGAAGCAGGCTCCATGCACCGGGAGCCCGACGTGGGACTCGATCCCGGGTCTCCAGGATCGCGCCCCGGGCCAAAGGCAGGCGCCAAACCGCTGCGCCACCCAGGGATCCCTGATGTTAAATGTTTATCATGGAGTGTGTCCTTTAGGTTTTTGGAAAATCCTAAAGTAGGCATAATTACCATCCCACTTTCGCAGATGAAGTAGCTCAAGTGCAGAGCTGACATGCCTAGTGTAGGTGAGGAAAAAAGTATTTTCTTACTACCTTCTGGGTTCTCCAGCTAAGACCCTGTAAATTGAATTGATGGAAGACAGATTAACAAAAGAAAAGCATACAAATGTACTAAATAGAAGTTTTACCGGACACAGGAGGCTTCATATGGAAATGAATACCCCAAGAAACGTTAAACCTAAGTGATTTTATGCTAAGTTTTAACGAAAAGTAGAAAATCATGGAAAAACATGTGACAGGACAAAAGGCAATGAGCTAAAGGTAGTAAAGTGGGGGAAATGTAGCAAGGCTTGTCAATTTGGATTCCTCTTGGAGTCCTGTCTTCTGAGTTAAGGATTCTCCTTTACTCTGCCTAAAGGGGAGGGCACCTCTCCAGTAAGGGACTTGGGAACTGCTTGAGCCCAGGGAGGGGGAGGTTGGAGAGTCCTTCCTGCGCCTGCCTTTTTTGAAACACCTTCAGCTTAAAATAATCCATATCCCAAGGTGCTGAATTTGGGGGTAGCATGTTGTAACCTTCATCAAATGCAGTTCCTTAAGCTATCTGACCCTGATCTGTAAAATGGGTGTGTTGCCATAGCTCTGTGAGCCCCATGCTTATTTACATACCAGAACCACCTGGAGAGTTTTCAAAAGTTACAGATTCCTGAACCCAAACCCGAGATGTCTGACTCAGTAGCTTCTGGGTGGGCTCTGGGGCATCATCAATGCCCTCGGTCACCTCTGCCAGAGGATCTGACCCGTGGTGCCCCATGGGGCGATAAAACCCAGCTGTCCTACAGCTAGCTGCTTCCTTTCGGTAGGGTGGTTGGATTCTGATGCAATAAGCTGCTGAGGTGGCAGCTGCACAGCATCATTAAGAGAAAGCACAGCTAAATCATCTGTGTGTCAAACGAGGCTAATTACACCAGCAAAACCCTCTCTGTCAGCGTATGAGTAAAATGCACAGTGGAAGCAGCTGGGAGAGATGTACTCACTTCCTGGACTCATTCAGCAAGATGGAAGTTAGCTGAAAGAGCACCCCTTACAAACGGTTCCTAAATCTGCTTTTGATCATCAAAAACGTTTGGTCACCAGAAGAGAATTTCAATCTGAAAGCTTACCAGCCACAATTCAGATCGTTTTCTTGGGAGAGCTGTATAATAATATGCAAATGGTGGTTTTCTATTTTCCTTACACACAATCCCATCTAAAAGCCTCTTGCTTTCTGTAAAAGCAATGAGATTTTTTCAAGCTCTTTTGTTTATTGACATTAATATAATAGTTTCTCTCGCGGAAGTGGTTTATAAAATGTATTACTTGCCTTTGTTTTTCTTGAAATGTTTCTTTGGTTGTCCACGAAAGATGAGACTAGTAATATTTAACACTTATTGAGGGCTTGCTCTTTACCATGCATGGTCCTGCTTAATTTGCATATCCATATACCACCTCATGTAGTTCTCAATAATTGCATATGGTAACTATTATTCTCAGATCCCTTAAAAAAAGATTTTATATATCCATACATGAGAGACACAGGCAGAAGGAGAAGCAGGTTCCCTGTAGGGAGCCCGATGCGGGACTCGATCCCAGGACCCCGAGATCATGGCCTGAGTCAAAGGCAGACGCTCAACCACTGAGCCATCCAGGTGCCCTCTCAGATCCCTTTTATATGATGAGGTAATTCCTATAGCCCATAGCCACCAAAAAATTCAGCTGGAATGTGAATCCGTCAGACTGATGCCAGATCTTTCTCTTTCCTATTTAGACCAGTATTCCCCAAAATATGAATTCTGGAAAGTTAATTGCCCAGGATATTAACAAATAATTCTAGGAGGAGCATGAATTAAATGAGGTTGGGGAATATTGGGCTCAACAAATTGGTTTTGTGTGTGCGTGATTCTCAGTGTTTAAAAATTAGGTGCCATACAAATCTCTAAAAGGCAAAAGCAGAATTTCACATTCCCAAATCTCCCTGAATCCAAAACTCTTCTTGGTCAAGTCTCTTTAGACCCTTGTCAAACTACGTCTATGAAATGATACTTTGCAAATGAGTTATCTGCAAAGAAGTCTACCTCCCTGCCCACTGAAGCCAAGTGCATCATCCCTTTTACAGGGACAGTAGGAAGACTTGATAGGCAAGAGGCCAACAGTGTGTTACCACTGTGCACATGTTCTTTCCTTTAAAAAAAATTTTTTTAAAGATGTTATTTATTCATGAGAGACACGAGAGGCAGAGACATAGGCAGAGGGAGAAGCAGGCTCCCTGCAGGGAGCCTGAGGCAGGACTCAATCGCAGGACCTCGGGATCACGACTGGAGGTAAAGACAGGTGCTCAACCACTGAGCCACCCAGGAGTCCCAAAAGCCTTCCATTTCTTCATATTCTTGTACCTAGCAATTTCATTTCTTAGAATGCGTTCACCTTTTCCTAAGGAAATAACCTTACATGTGTATAATTATTTAGCTACAGGGAATGTTTATTAACTCCGTGTGCTTGTGAGAATTGAAAATAGCCCAAATATTCAACAATTGGGGATTGGAAAATCATGATATATCCAAAAAGTCTTAACAGAGAGCTATTAAAAATAATGTAGTAGTAGAAAAAAATGCTATGGAAAAATCCTGATTTTGTAAGTCAAAACAACAACAACAACAACAAAAACAAACAACAGATGACAAAAGATTATTTAGTTCATATGCCCAGAAGAATGGATTGGAATGATAAATCAAAATGTTAATAGTGGTAGCTCATAGTGGTGACATAGGGTAAATTTTTATTTTCTTTATACTTCCTTGTGTTATCTTAACTTTTGTGCAATAAATGTATAGATAAGCATTGACTAAGCATTGAAATAAGCATTAAATGCTTGACTAAGCATTATATTCATAAAATCCCAAAGTTGGCAATTATGAAAGGGTATACAGTAACAAAGTTTGGAGTTGTTTTGCATTTCATTTGCGATCCAGTTTAATTTATTCCAGCTTCATGGATACTTAGTAAGAAAAGCAAATTGTTTAAAATATGAAACTCCTCACTTATCGTGGCAGTCCAAGTGCTGGTTGTCCCCATCTGTTAGATCACAGGATCTAGATGCAAATAAGGACATCGTCTTGCAAAGGTTCAGCTTACACAGGGAATGAGTAACATAGCCAGACCTCTGCTCTGCTGTGTGCAGGTTTGCTTTCAGAGTCACTCTGTAGTAAAGAGGGAAGCCCCGAGAGCTCAAGTTCCACCTTCAAGTAGAATTTTCACTTCAGTACAACTCAAGTCGCTGGTGAGATCTTCCTTCCAAAATCTTGTAAGTTGCTTCGGTCATCTAAGTAAAAAAAAGTGGTCTCCCCTGTAGTGTTGGGGTTGATGTGTATGGGCTGCATGAATTGGGGCATGACTGTATAGAGGAAGAGCACTAATTTTATTCCTGTAGAGATTCCCTAGACTTGTTACTCACTGGCGAACCTCAGCAGCTGCCCTGAAATGTCAGATGGATTTGCGCAGCTGACTCAAGTTGCCAAAATGAGAGCAGCGCAGTGGTTCCATAAATTGACCCTATCCAGCCAAGCCCTACTTAATATAGACGCGGCGTGAGCTTAGCTGCAGTCACCCCTAGCTGCGCGGCGTGCACCACTGGGATTCTCGGGGGGAAATCTCTTAAAGTAGTGTTAACCTGGAATGCTTGTTGGCTGGGGGAACTCCTTGAGAGATTTTTGTTCTTTTGAGAGTCTTCGATTATTTCTTCTTTTCTAGTAACAGAGAAAAGCATAGAGGAAAAAACCATGTCAGAACATAGCAGGAATTCCGATCAAGAAGAACTCTTTGATGAGATTGATGAAGATGAAATCTTGGCCAACTTGTCCCCCGAAGAGCTGAAAAAACTGCAGTCGGAAATGGAGGTCATGGCCCCTGACCCCAGGCTTCCCACGGGAATGATTCAGAAGGATCAGACCGACAAGCCACCCACGGGAAACTTTGACCATAAATCTCTTATGGATTATATGTATTGGCAAAAGGCATCCAGACGCATGCTGGAAGACGAACGTGTCCCTGTCACCTTTGTGCCGTCCCAGGTAATCAGGGATTTGTGTACAACAGAGGAACGGCTGCCTGGGCCTGAGCGACAGGTGTGCATGTGGCAACTGTCATCTCTCAAGACTTCATGTTTGGTCTTGTTTTGTTGCCACTGCTAGATTAAATCATAACGTTTAATCTTATGCCAGATTGGAAATTCCTGAAACACTTACATGGTATAATTGGGAAGGAAAAGCAGTAATTTTTGTGTAAATGTCTTCTTTTTAAAAGAAAGGCTGTAGGGTTCACTGTGTAGGAAAGTCTGTATTCTACAGACATGGTACTTAATGAATTAACTCGTAACCCATCAGCATTTGTCCTTAACTCATTTTTTTTTTTGGCACACAGGCTACTTTAAGAAGCTGATGAAAGCTCTGTACCCCTTCTTCTGTATATACATTCATATGCAGTATTTCACATACCATTGCAAGGGCATCACAGTCTTTCTGAAGTCCCACCAGCCAACCTGCAGTTAAACCAATTTAAATAACCAAATTCCATATTAATGCAGTTTATTGGATATTGGTAATGAATTTAGGAATTGATAGCTATTAAATAGGAGTTGTAAAGACAGTTCTTTCTTAAATATATTTTTCTATGAAAACTAGAATTGTAGTTGAATCTATGAACCTATTGTATATCACCATACTTTTATTAATGTTCCACTTAAAAATGACACAGCAAAAGGAAGGGAAAGATCCCGCAGGTAAAGCCACTTTTAGTTATACCTGTTGATACAGATAGATCTAGTCACATCGCTATCACATGGGCTGTAAGTAAGAAGACTTATATATATATAAACCATGGTTTCGTGGTCAGAAGAGTTTAAACATTTACTAAACTTAAGAAATTGCTAGCTTGGTCAGGTTAGAGTTTAAGGTAAAATCTGCCGATATTTGGAGTGGCTGTATTATGCAATTGGAGTAAAATCAATTCTTTATGAATGCAAATTTCAGAAAAAGAAAATTGGGTACTTTGAACACGTTTTCTTCCCTTGGTATAATTTAAACAGCTTGATGATTGGCTCCCCCTGCTGGGACCGATGAGAAATGCAGTGGTGAAGGCTTTAAGGTGGTAAGGATGACTATTACCAAGGGTCACTTCCAAACTCAATATGTTGTGAGCAAGAAGATCAAGTTCTTGCTTGAAAATCCTACACCAGCTTTTGAAATGACACTTAGGAGTTACACGTGAGGTATATAGGAAAGCACACTAATTGATGGGTAAGAATCTAATAAAGTGTTATTCATTACACACTGCCAATTTCCTTTCTAGACTAAGCAGTTGTTTCCAAGTATTTGTATAATCCTGCCCTCTTTTGTGGCTGGCTCTGCCCCCTAGACACTTGTTTCAAAAGAAACTGGACTAATGATCCTGTCCTTGGAGTAGCCCGGGGCAGTTGTCCTAGAGCTAAGGAGACAAAAAAAAAAAAAATCCAAGTCTAGGTCTTTGGTCTATTTCAGAGTATCAAAGTGTTCTCATTTTTCCCACAATATGTTTATGTTTTCAGGGAAAGTTGACATACACATTATGTCAATGTGTCTGTACGTATCTATAGTATGGCTATAAAAGTTCATCTTTCTTTAGATTATATTTGCTTATAAAACTAATATGTGTATTTTATTTAAAAAAAACACTCAAACACTTTAGAATTATATAATGTAAAAACTGAAAATCCCCTAAATGTGTCTCCTCCTCAGTTTTTGTTTTTGTTTTTGTTTTTAAAGTAATCTCTACATGCAATGTAGGGCTTGAACTCAACCCTGACATCAGGAGTCACATGCTTCACCAACTGAGCCATCTGGGTGCTGCTCTCTTCCCAGTTACCTTAATGGTTCCCCCTCGTTCTAAGAGAGAACTATTAATTTGGTAAACATCGCAACAGAATTTTTTCCCTATACATTTATAAACTTTTATATGTTGTATATGTGTTTTTATACATGTGTATGCACACAAATGGAATACTAGACACACCATTCATGTGCTTGCTTTTTTCATTTCCTAACACATTTCTTTCTTATTTCCAGTAGCTACTGCTCTGCCACATATTTCTACATTGCCATGTGTTCTAACCCTCATAAACCTCTCTTATAGGCGGACACTCCAGGGCAGCATGAAGAAGTAGGCAGAGGTAATAAAAATGTGTCCCAGTATTTAAAAGAAAAGCTTAACAATGAAATCACTGCAAATAAAAGGGAATCAAAAGGCAGCAACGATGTCCAAGAAACCGATGATGCTGATGGTGAAGAAGATGAAGGTGACGAGGATGATGAGGATGATGATGAGGAAGATGAGGATGACGAGGATGAAGATGAGGAAGAAGAGGCTGACAGTGAAGAGAGTGTTGAAAAGCCACAAAGAGGAGTGCAAGGTGAGGCAAGGGAGCAGATCAGAAATGGTGAGAGCAGCAGCCCACAAGTAGTGAAGAAAGCATTTGGAAAACAGAATGACAGACCAGAGGCGCAAGAAAAAAGTGAGAAAAAAATATCAAAATTAGATCCTAAGAAGTTAGCTCTAGATACCAGTTTTCTAAAGGTGAGCGCAAGGCCTTCGGGAAACCAAACAGATCTGGATGGGAGCTTGAGGCGCGTTAGACAGAATGACCCTGACATGAAGGAGCTCAACCTGAACAACATTGAAAACATCCCTAAGGAGATGTTGCTGGACTTTGTCAATGCGATGAAGAAAAACAAACACATCAAAACCTTCAGTTTAGCGAATGTGGGCGCCGACGAGAACGTTGCCTTTGCCTTGGCTAACATGTTGCGGGAAAATAGAAGCATTACCACTCTCAACATCGAGTCCAATTTCATCACAGGTAAGGGAATTGTGGCCATCATGAGGTGTCTCCAGTTCAATGAGACACTCACCGAGCTTCGGTTTCACAATCAAAGACACATGCTGGGCCATCACGCTGAAATGGAAATATCCAGGCTGTTGAAGGCAAACACCACTCTCCTGAAGATGGGCTACCATTTTGAGCTCCCAGGTCCCAGGATGGTGGTAACCAATCTGCTCACCAGGAATCAGGATAAGCAAAGGCAGAAAAGGCAAGAGGAACAAAAGCAGCAACAACTCAAAGAGCAGAGGAAGTTGATAGCCATGTTGGAGAATGGGTTGGGGCTGCCACCGGGAATGTGGGAGAGGTTGGGAGGACCCATGCCTGATTCCAGGATGCAGGAGTTCCTCCAGCCTCCTCCTCAGCCTCCCAACCCCCAAGTGGCCCCCTTCAGTCGACAGAATGAAATGATGAAGAAGCCATCCCAGCCTCCGAAGTACAGGACGGACCCTGACTCCTTCCGAGTGGTGAAGCTGAAGAGGATCCAGCGCAAATCCCGGATGCCGGAGGCCAGAGAACCACCTGAGAAAACCAACCTCAAAGATGTCATCAGAACGCTCAAACCAGTGCCGAGAAATAGGCCACCCCCATTGGTGGAAATCACTCCCAGAGATCAGCTCTTGAATGACATTCGTCACAGCAACGTTGCCTATCTTAAACCTGTAAGTAGAGGGAAGGAGAAATGGTGAACAAGCTCAGGTCAGTGTGTCCCACCTCTAGCCCCTGCTTGTTTTAACACAAGGAGATTCTCAGTAATGGTGACCAACTGGAGGAAGGCCATCAGTATTACCAGGGGACGTAAATTACTAGTTATCCCCAAAGACATACATACATAAATCTAGACAACTTTGAAACAATAATATTAACAGCTAATGTTTATTAAGCACTTACCATAGGCCAGTTGCATTATATGAATTAACTCATCATCTTAAAAACCCTATGAGGTAGGTATTATTATTCTCCCCATTGTATAAAAGAGAAACTGAAGTTTAGAGAAACTCGATAACATGTATAGGAGATAGAGCTAGAAAGTGGTAGAGTTGACACTGAACTTCGGCTCCAAGTCCAGGGTCAAGCTTTTATTCACCTCAGTCGCAGAACTGACCAGAGATCTCTAGGAACCTGCTGCAGAAATAAGCAAGAACAAAGCCTAAGTTAGGCCTGTCATTTGTAAACAGCTGAGTGCTTCCAGAAAGTTTAAAAATAGTTGGTTCTTTTTTAATAGATGAAGAAAGACTACCTGCAATTGCATTTACCTTTACTTTTTAGGCGGCCAGACAAATGGTAAACTTCAGGTTAGCATCTCCATGAATTAATGGAGTTTTGACTTTTTTTTTTTTAAGATTATTTGTCCATTTAAGAGAGAGACAGAACACAAGCAAGGAGAGAGGCAGAGGCAAGGAGAGAGGGAGAAGCAGACTCCCTGCTGAGCTGGGAGCCTGATGTGGGACTCAATCCCAGAAACTGGAGATCATGACCTGGGCCGAAGGCAGACACTTAACCATCTGAGCGACCTAGGTGTCCCAGAGTTTTGACTGTTATTTCAGTTTTTAATATTTACAGTCATTCCCAATTAACTGCTGCTAATGCATAAAAATATCTTATTCCTTGCAGGATAAGTTGAAGAAATCATTTATTTGTCATTACTATGATAGTATTTATGGTATCTGAAAGGTGTATGTCCAAAGGTCACAGGGAATTGAAAATTAACTGTATTATTTTAAAATCTAGTGTATAATTCAGCTGAAATAGTCCATGTATTATTTCATCATAGAGAGTCACAAGTTTTTCAAGATGTGTTATACAGATGTATGTCTCTTACTCCCATCTCCTAGGAATGCAGAATTGACAACATTCCATTCTTCTAAATCAAAGATGACTTTCTACTGTGTCATAGAGGGATTCTGATGCTTCCTAGGGTAGAAGCCAGGGTGAGAACAGTAAAGGTCCTCTGAGGTCGGGCAAGAGTTCTTTGCCTGCCCTTGGGTACTACATCAAGACTTTCTGCACCTGCTCTTCTCCAGGCAGCCAGATCCTGTAGGGGAGTGGATTGGGGTGTTGATTTGAGAGAAACTAGCCCTGTCACCGTGTAACCAGTCATTTGTAAAGCATATCCAAGCTGCCTGGCAGGCTGTACCATCAGAAGATAACAGTCTGAAAAGAGTGAAGAAAAGCCTTTTTCTTTTTTCTTTTTATTTATTTTTTTTTTAGAGAGAGAGAGAGCACGGGGGAGGAGGGGCAGAGGAAGAGGGAGAGAGAGAGAATCTTTAACAGGTTCCATGTTCAACATGAAGCCCAACACTGGGCTCTCTCTTACAACCCTGAGATCCTGACTTGAGTTGAGATCAAGAGTCAGCCTCTTAACCTACTGAGCAACCCAGGTGCCCCAAGAGAAGTCTTTTTAAACTCTACGTTAGAGGTGGCCTGCGGATTCAGAATAGAAGAGAGAATGAAGTTCAGATGTTAATCTGACCCCTGCCTTCCAAGGGAGTGTTCTACTGAGCAAGCCTGCTTACCCTGGAGTCTGTTTCATTCTACCCATTCATTTATTCATTAATGCAACACATATTTATGTAGTGCGCCTGCGTGTCAGGTCCTTTCAGAGGTCAGACAGACAGCAATGAATAAGACAGGCACAGTCTTGACCTCATGGAACTTACAGTCTTGGTTTTATAGTTTCCAGTCAGGACACTGTCTTTTAGTCAACTGAGAATACTTCACCTTTGAGTCCAGATTTCTAGAACAAAAGACATTAAAGTAAATTCGTGAGGATAACTACAAAAACGCAATCCCTGGCTAACTACTACATTTTCTATTTTCAATCAGTTCTAAACTGCTATCAATTTTAAGCTGTGTTTTGTTTGTGTTTAATGTCCACTACGAAAGAAACACGCTTCAGAGTAAACTCTGACATGATTTTTGAATGATGGTCTTGCACATCAGCCTCTACTTTGAAATGTTTTTCATCTGTTCCAAAGGATTGGCTAATTCTCCTGCTTTAACTGCCTGGCTTGGCCTGTAAGAGGCATCTCTTTGCATGTACTTAAGATACAGAATGTCCCACAACTTCATCCACGTAGTCCTGTAAGATGCTCTACAAAAGGTGAAAATTCATCATCTCACTGACAAAAATTCACTCCACTAATGTCCCTCTGCTTCTCACTGATCAAATTTTGTGCCTTGCTACATACAACAATAAATTTTTGCTTTCATGCTGAATCATAGTGTGATCTTTTTAAAAGAGTCTTTTTGAAATCATTTTAAACTCACAGAGAAAAAAATAAATAAATAAACTCACAGAGGTTCAAAAATAGTACAAAGGATCGTTATATACCCATCATATTGTGTCAAATTTGTCATTCTTGAAAAAGCTACTTTAAATGGCAATACATCGGGCAGCCCCAGTAGTGCAGTGGTTTAGCGCCGCCTGCAGCCCGGGTGTGATCCTGGAGATCCGGGATCAAGTCCCACATCGGGCTCCCTGCATGGAGCCTGCTTCTCCCTCTGCCTGTGACTCTGTCTCTCTCTCTCTGAATAAATAAAATCTTTTAAAAAAAATGGCAATACATCCGATCCATGTGTGTAGTTAATGGTAGCACAGATATTGTAGAAGGCCATGGTGTGCTCGTGTTTAAATCTGTAGTCAACTACTGTAAAACACCATGGATTGTAAGATGTTTTCTGATTTGGGGGCCTTGGAAATGTCACAAAATGTGCCTCTTAGGCTGAGTGAAATATTGAAAATGCCATTGGTGGTGATATCGCAAAATCTCAGCAGAAAGGGATATTTTTAGCTAGTCAAATGACATATTACAGCATTCACTTTGGAAAAGTGAAACTAAAGGTTTTTAGGGTTTTTAACTCCCTCCTTCATTGGTGGACAAAGATGCCCTCTAAACTCCTGGGTTTTCAAGTAAGATGTTAAACTTAAAGCATAATTTTGAAATGTTGTGATTTTCTTTTAAACTGATGCTCCTAACTGGAGTCTTGAATGTCCAGAATATACCTACACATTATTTAGTCTTAGCTAGTCTTGTTTTCCTTTTTAAGTTTTCTATTTTCCTCTTACGGACTTGGGAATAGTATTTTTGCATTTCCTAGAGCATATCTTATCCAGTAGTCCATTTATATTTTTTAATTGTATTTTTTCATTTCAATACCTATTCTCACCCCATGCCATGTTTCTGGCCTGAGATCCTTGAAATGAAGTTGATAGCAAAGAATAAAGGAAAAATCTGTACACTTGCTTGGCTTAAATGCTACCTCCTCTATGAAGCTGCCCGTTTAATCAGTTTAAGGGAGATGTATTCTGTGGGCCAGGTATGGAGAACTGGCAGGCTATCAGCCAAATCTGCAGGCCTGTAGTGTTTGGCTGGAATATTGTACAAAATTTAAAATATCACATCATAACATATCTGGCACCACTTGAAACATCAGATCTGGCCACGTTGGGCTTGCATTTGCATGGCACTAATGAGCTGAATCTGGCATTGGCTTTTCCCTTGAGATAGATAATGGACTCTCCAGTTTCTCCCAGTCTTCACCATGCCCTACTGCCTCATACCTGGCCTGTATCACTCATTTGCACTACTTATTTGGCTCCTGTAGAATTCTTAGGGTTTTTTTTTTTAAGATTTTATTTATTTATTCATGAGACACACACACAGAGGCATAGACACAGGCAGAGGGAGAAGCAGGCTCCACGCAGGGAGCCCGACGTGGGACTTGATCCGAGGTCTCCAGGATCACACCCTAAAGCCAAAGGTGGCACTAAACCACTGAGCCACCCAGGCTGCCCAGAATTCTTAGTTTTGTTCCTATTTTAAACTCTGCTTTTAAACTGTCTTGCTTAACAAAGTGAATTAATTAATCACAAATTCATTCCTCTCTAAGTTAATAACTGAGTCAGTATGAGACCAGCCCAAAACACAGATGTTATGCCTATACAAGCTTATCTCTCCCTGGCAAATGTGTGATTTCCTTTCATCTTGAAAAATTTGGTGGACCAGTCACTGCCTAACATCCCAGATGGGGCTTTTACTTCTCCATGATTTCATTCACCCAGGTGAAATGCATTTATATCACACACAAGCTTCAGTGCCAATTAAAAAAGGTATTTTAACATTCACTCAATTTCACTTTGGGCTCACCTGTGTATATTTGGGATTGCTTCCACCCAGCTGCCTAAAAACACAGCTAAATTTCTCTTTTGAAAAGACTTCTGTTTAATAATATCAAAAGCAGCCTTAGCCAAAAGACTCCATGACATATTGGGAGTTATAATTATGAAATGGGACATTATAGACTTTCGAGTCTTCATCTCCATCTCTGGCCATTTCTTCTTTGCCTCACTGACAAGACTTCCATCCTTAGGATTTCTGGATTCTATCTTTTTGCAATTTCCTCCTCTTTCCCATTTTATTTACTCCTTCTGTTTCAATTGTCACATAATCTAGGACACTCCCCAGATGTCTCTCTCCCCTTTGATCATTGAGGTTTTGTTTGCACCTTCATTCAATCTGTCCCCCAGCCAACCTCTTGAGTTTACATCTACTTGTATTTCTGGTTACCTATTTTGGTGCTGTCTCTCCTCTCTCATGAATTGTCTTCAACAACTTTCTCCTGCCTTTTTTTTTTTTTTTTTTTGCTCCTTATAAAGGAAGTCTCCATGAGAAAGAGCTATGTAACATTTCAAACTCCTCTTGAAAGAACATGTGTTGACCAGAATTACATAGTGTAGGGACTGTCTTTTCCTAATACTTAGAGGGAAAAAGGGCTTATGGTGTACAACTTTTCTGTAGTGTGTGATTATGATTCTTAACTTTTAGCATGCATCAAAATCACCTGGAAGGCTAAGTCCAGATTCCTGAGCCCATCTCTAGAGTTCCTGATTCAATAGGTTTTGGATGGTGTCTGAGAATTTGCATTTCTCTCAAGTTCCTTGGTGATGCTGGTGCTGCATATTTGGACACCACACTGACAACCACAACTCTGTGACACCTACGACAAACCACATCCCCTCATATTTCCCCCAAAGGACCTTCTTTTCTTACCTCAATACCCTTTGCTCAAATGACCTTTAATTCTATCTGTTGAAATCTACCCATACAGGCTTGGCTCAAATAGGACTTCTTCCAGCAAAAGAAACCAAACAAAGCATCAATAGTGAATACACTCCCTTTATATTTCCACAAACCTTCATCTATACCTCTCTTATAGAATCTCCCACATTCTGCCTTAGGCTGAGCGCCCATATGGGTACAGTGTAGGTCTCCTAGTAGATTCTGAATTCCTCAAAGTAGACCTTCCTCATCTCTTCCAGGACACCCAAGGTTTTGACTGAGAGCAGGAATTCAACTTAATATGCCAAATTAAATAACCCCTGCTGAGATGGATCCTCTCTTCCTGCCCCCATCTCTATGAGTGTATATGTGTATGTGCCCTATGTAATGCTATCCACAAATACTTAAAAAAAAAAAGATTTACTTATTCATGAGAGACACAAACAGAGAGGCAGAGACATAGGCAGAAAGAGAAGCAGACTCCATCCAGGGAGCCCAATTCAGGACTCAATCCCAGGACCCCAGGATCACAACCTGAGCTGCAGGTAGATGCTCAACCACTGAGCCACCCAGGTGCCCCCACACATACTTTTCTTAAACTAATTTTAACCAACAAGTGAGGGGAAAGCGGTCCCCTAACAATACTACAAGCTGATTCTCATGTGTTTGTAAGTTTTACATATTTATAACATTGAAACTAGCTATCTTTTCCTTTATGGTTTCTGTCTTTTGTGTTCTACTTGAAGATGGCTTCTTAAGATTACTAAGGTATTTGCCCATATTTTATTGCTATTTTTATAGTTTCTGTTTTTTTTTAAATTTTTTTTAAGATTTATTTATTCATGATAGACACACAGAGAGAGAGGCAGAGACACAGGCAGAGGGAGAAGCAGGCTCCATGCACCGGGAGCCCGACGTGGGATTCGATCCCGGGTCTCCAGGATCGCGCCCCGGGCCAAAGGCAGGCGCCAAACCGCTGCGCCACCCAGGGATCCCCTATAGTTTCTGTTTTTTTATAAAATATTCCTTATTACAGATAAATTAAAGGGTTAAGTTTTAGAAGTAAGTAGGGAGCAAGAAGCCCACTTTGTTACTTCTTTTCAAAACAGCTGACCAATGATAGCTAACTCAGTCTTTTTCACAGTGATATGAATTGCCAGCTTGGTCATATTTTAAATGTGTCAATATGTATCTGGGTTTACTATGTTGGGTCTGTGCCACATTTTGTTTTTTAAAATATTTTTATTCATTTGGAACCCTCCCATGCATATAAACATATATCCAGAAGAGCATTACATGAAATAGTTTTTTCCCCCATTCAATAATAACAAGGGGTTATTGTTTTAATTATTTGTTGCAGCACTGTAATTATTTTAAATACCTGGCATTGTATTTTTGGCTCACTAATGTTCCTTTCTGTTGGGTGTTCTCCAAGGTTGAGCCCTACGAAGGTGCAGTCACAACCGTCCCATCCTGAAAGAAGTCTGGCACTAGGAGGGAGAGGGCCAGAAGCACATGGAGAAGCCCTTGGTCTGAAGGCTGGGCAGGCAGCAGCAACATATCAGAAGCCTCCCTGTTGGGCAGGATATTGGGAAATCTTTCCAGCCAAAGATAACTGACTGCAGGAGGGGCTGTAGCAGATGGCCAAAATGGCTCATCACATTGGCAGGTGGATTTGGGGAACAGTAGGAGAAAGATTCTTAGTCATTATTATACAAACTCTGAGCGTCCTCTGCACTTTTTCAGTGTCCTCCGGAAAGTTCCTGCCTGATGCATAAGTCCCTCCTAGATGTAACACCACTTGAAACTGTTTAAGAACTTACCTTATCTTTAAGTTGTTCCTATGAAACAAAGCTGAGCTGATTTGCAGTCAGGCTTAAGCTACTCTTTTAAAATTTTTTTCTGCCCTTGGGGCTTCTCCAAATAATATTTTGTTTTTAAAATTTCATTGAGCTTCAAATTAGGAATGTGCTTCAAAAAGGAAAGACCAGTTTATAAAAGAAAATATAGTTTATATTCTTGCGGTGGTATTTTTTTGTGGGTAAGGCTTGGGTATGGAAGTTCAGGCAGATATGGATTCAAATCCTGATCTGGCATTGATTAGGTGTGGGGGAAATAGCTTCTCCTCTGTGAACCTGTCCCCTCTTTACAAGGTTATTGTAGGATAAAATGAGAAAATGTTTCGAAAGCATTGATGTTGCTTACTAACTTGTTTTACATCACTTAATCCTTAAAATAGCCTTGTCCATTAGATACACAGTTACTGTCATTTTACAGTTAAGAAAATTGATGCCGGACACCACACAGCTAGAAATACCAGTACTAGGATTTGAACTGGGCAGACTCCAGCATCTGCTCTTTTGTTTTTACAATATGCTTCATCATGTGTTTGAAGCCCTTAGATCAGTCCCTGGCATCACTAAATGGCCAAGGAATGGTGGATGTGGTTGTTATTGTTGTTTTACTATGCTTTGGGAGGCTCCCTGACCCAAATTTCTCATCCATTCTGCAACTTTTGAGGCATGTAAGTCTTGTCAGTTTTGCTGCCAAACTCTTGAATTTCCAGCATTAATTTTTTTTCCCTTTAACAACTTCATTCCACAGGTGCAACTGCCAAAAGAACTGGCATAAATGGCAACAGAATAATCTAGAAGAACAAGGAATTGAGATAATGACTCGGGTCAGAGCTTGGACAGTTTCCGCAACATACTTCCGGAGCCAGGTGGTGGAACCAGGAACAAGGCTGGCATCTGATAGAAGTATTTTGTCAAGGCAGAGGCAAAAAAAAAAAGGGGGGGGGGTGGAGCTGACAAGGAATGGGGAAGGAGAAAAAAAAGAATTACTATTCTGGGACATTTTCTACTTCCAATCAGTTTGAGTAATTACAACATTTAGTCATGCTTCCAGCAGCAGAAGTTTAAAAATATTTTTTTTCATAAACATTTGTTTTACTATTGCTTTCTTCTGGTCAATAATAATAAATACTATACAAGTGTTAAGTATTTCTCCCTCCGTCTCCAGCTGTAATTCATGGCACAGTATCGGAAACAAATCGTTGTTCCACTCTATGGAAATGTGAGGGGTGAAGTGAGCTCCAGGTCCCATGGATACTCTGGAATGGAAGAACTGTTCACTGGCTCTTCTCTGGAGAGTCAGTTGGGATTTGTAGTTTCTTGACCCTAATAGCTTGCTTTCCTGGCAGTCCCCCGGTGCGTCGTGCTTTGGAAAAGGGTATGTATCCATGAGAAGCAGAGTCAGAAGGCATAGGACTCAGAGAAAACAGTATTTCCAGGGAAAAAAATGGGATAAACAAATCCATGTATATACATGTGCATATATACATGTGCATATACTTCCCAGTTTCCATATAGAGAGGAACAAAAATTTTTTTGTATAAATAAGATAGTCAATGACAAGTTTCTGGTTTTAGCTAACTAAGTTTAGTTTGTGACTCTAATTTTGATCTTGTTAGTCTCCTCAAAAATCTTTTTTTTTAAGATTTATTTATTTATTTATTCATGATAGACATAGAGAGAGAGAGAGAGAGAGAGGCAGAGACACAGGCAGAGGGAGAAGCAGGCTCCATGCACCGGGAGCCCGAAGTGGGACTCGATCCGGGACTCAATCCCGGGACTTCAGGATCGCGCCCTGGACCAAAGGCAGACACTAAACCGCTGAGCCACCCAGGGATTTCCTCTTCAAAAATCTTCTAATGGAAACTTACTATAGGATTAAACTTAAATTTCTTATTGTATTATTCAAGGCCTTCCATTGTCCCTTCCCAACTTAGTAATGCAGTCTGACTGGCCACAGATTCTTTATACTCCTCTTGATAAGACATCCTCATCCATACCCTGTGCCTTGCTCTGGTTGGCTCTTCTATAGAATACCTTACAAAACACTACCCTCCTACTCTCAGTTACCAAAGTCCTGTTCTATCTTTAAAGCCAGGGTTAGGTCCCAATCCTCCATAAAAATCGTCCAGACAACTCCAATCCCAGTGGTCTTTCCTCTTTCCAAGTTCCTAGAGTCCTTAATTATTGATTGTAGTCACTAGATGCATAGAATCTGAAATTTTGCATAGACATGGCATGAACATCAGAAATCAGGAAATCACACATTGGTGCCTTTTCTGTCTTCTTTACCTGAGTGAATAGTTGGCACCTGCTTTCTTTCTCCTTTTCCATAATCATAGGTGGTAACAAGCAAAACAGGAATAGACTAAATGGGGGGAAAGTTTAAAAATACATTATTTAGAAGGACAAGTTATGGGAAAGAAATATGGTGTTTCCATTTTTTAAGGATAATTTAGTGTACACTAAAGTATCCAAATTGGAATGGCTATAGTTTCAATCAGGTAACTGATTTTGCAATAGCCAGTGGCTGAGAAGTTTTTTTCTCCTATGTTACTGTTTCTATAAAAGATTCTTGCATGCCAAGCAGGATAGTTAAGAAAGAGCTGTTGTAAATAAAATTTTGTAAGTGTCTAGTATATTCTACATCAAGAGGCTAACCACTAATGGGACAAAGTGCTCTAAACATGTTTAAAAGCTTATATACTAGTAGTTGAAGTTCTTAAAAGCTCTTATGCAATTGTTTGTATAGTCACAGTATTAATAAAGTCAGGAATTTCAAAAAGTGCTGATAGTTCTAAAAGAGGGCTTTAATCTGAGACGTGCAAAGAGAAAAGATGATCCAAATGCATAGCTTACTGCTTTAGTGCACAGATTTTGTGAAGAGACTGGTGAAGCAGCTTACTATTGCTTTTTCCATCTACCCACTCCCACCCTAAAAATCTTAGTTGAAGATTTTGGCTTTGTTTTTTGTTTTTTTTTTTTTAAGATTAATTAATTAATTAATTCATTCATTCATTCATGAGAGACACAGAGAGAGAGAGGCAGAGACACAGGCAGAGGGAGAAGCAGGCTCCACGCAGGGAGCCCGACACGGGACCTGATCCTGGGTCTCCAGGATCACGCCTCGGGCCAAAGGCAGGTGCCAAACTGCTGAGCCACCCAAGGATCCTGAAGATTTTGTTTTTTATTTTTTACACAATTTTATTTTTAAGTAATCTCTACACCCAAAATGGGGCTCAAACTCACAACCTTGAGATCAAGAGTCACATATTCTACTGACCGAGCCAACCAGGCACCCCTTAATTTGTTTTATTTTTTATTTTTTAAAGATTTTATTTATTTATTCATGAGAGACAGACAGAGAGAGAGAGAGAGAGAGAGAGAGAGAGAGAGAAAGGCAGAGAGAGAAGCAGGCTCCATGCAGGGAGCCCGATGCGGGACCCATCCTGGGACTCCAGGATCACACCCTGGGCCAAAGGCAGGCGCCAAACTGCTGAGCCACCCAGGGATCCCTAATTTGTTTTAAAATGCAGTAATTTACAACACTTACATGCTACATTTTTATATCATTATCCTCCCAGAATTGACCACCAACCATTAGTAATTATGATGAGTATATTTTTTTATTTAAGTTGTCACTTTTTCCAAATAGATTGCACTCAGAATACAGAATTCATGTAGAAAAACAGAAGGGGGGCGGCGCCTGGGTGGCTCAGCGGTTGAGCATCTGCCTTCTGCTCAGGGCATGATCCCGGGGTCCTGGGATGGAGTCCCACATCAGTCTCCTCGCAGGGAGCCTGCTTCTCCCTCTGCCTATGTCTCTACCTCTCTCTCTGTGTCTCTCATGAATAAATAAAACCTTAAAAAAAAAAGAAGGGGCTCAATTATGTCAGGTTTAAAAAAGGGTCCCACTGGAATTCAATTTTATTCTGGCTGGAAATTAATAAAATATTAGAGTTTTATTAAACAGTATTGTAGTCCTCCCCCCATCCAGTTGGCATATGTTCAAGGACCCCAGTGGATGCCTGAAACCACATAGTACTGAACCCCCATACATAGTTTTTTTTCCTGTACATGCCTACAACAAAGATTAATTTATACATCTGGCACAGAGATTAACAACAAAAACTAGTAAGTTAGAACAATAATAATATGCTGTGATAAAAGTTATGTGAATGTGGCCTCTCAAAATTATCTTATTGCATGTACTCCCCCTTCTTCTGTGATGATGTGAGATGAGAAAATGCCTCCTATAGAGATGAAGTGAGGGGAATGATGTAGACATTGTGACATAGTATTTGTCTACTGTTGATCTCCTGACAATGTGTCAGAAGGAGGATCATCTGCTTCTGGACCAAGGCTGATTGCAGGTAACCGAAACCATGGAAAGCAAAAGCACTGATGGGGGATGGGGGGGAGGCAGAGACTACTGTATTTGAAACACAAGCTGAGTGGCTTTTGCCGTTTAGCATGTCCTCACGTCCTTATCATTTACAGAGCTGTCACCAAGTATCCCAGATATTTAGCAACAGATATGCATTAAACAAAGCCTCACAAATGAAAATCTTCGATAAATTTTATTCTCCATATTTGGATAAGGGTACAAACTCTAGACCATGTCTATCAAGTCATGGCGATATCACTGTGCTGGAGATGGAGGCTGCAGGTTGGCTGAAAAATGAAAATGCAAGAAAAACCAGGAGCAGCATATGCTGTTGCTGCTTCTTTTAGGACACACACAGTCTCTTCAGTAAGTACTGCTCCAGTTGTCTTCATAATTCAGTGTTAGGGAAACCCAAATGTTTTCTGTTCAGCTATGAAATCACTCAATTGGCAAGCAAAACATTTTTGTATGATCTATTTCTAAATACATGAGAAATAAAAGGAAGAAAGTAACAGGATATATAAACTCATGCTATCTTGATTCTAATGCCTATCTATAAAACATACGTTGTAACAACTGCTATCTAAAATTTTTATGAAGTGCAGAAGCCATTGATGACTCGCATTTTCATAAGTCTTTTTGCTTGGTCATCTGCAGGTGCCGTTCAGGTTTCAAAGGATCAGTCATTATTGTTCTTTTTGTGCCCCTAAGGAATCAATACAATGTACATTGATTTTCTTCTTTCTAAATGTTCCAGTTAAAAACTAAACAGTGAAAAACAATATAGGAAACATAATTATCTTGGACACCTTTCTGTCATAACAACAAAAAATAAGCAATATAAACAGAACTCATATTTTATTTTTTTGTTGTTGCTTTTTTTTAAACAAGACCATCAAGGATAATATAGGGCATGTAGCTATAACCTCCGTAAAGGATGATATTTAGGTTGCAACAAATACCTGCTAGTGAAAAGGCATTACTAGCATTTCAAAATTTTATCAAAATCTGACAAAATATTCTCAACAGCTATCTTTATACTTGTAAACAAAATAAAAACCGGTTTATCCAGTTTCCACTGCATGTCCAACAGGCAGCAAAGTGAGACAGATCGTCTTCGATTTTAAAAGAATAATAATAAAAACTGAAATAGTTTAGACCGCACATATTAGGGTCCCAGGAAATATTTTTGGAGGATACTGGGGGCTTGGGGGGATTAAAACAGGCTAATGCATGACATCTACTTTAACAGGTTTTTTTTTTTTTTTCATTTACTCATATTGCCTTGATACTTTACAATTAGTTTTTTCCTACAAGTTAACAGTACTGTTGCTGTACAATGCAAAATCCTTTTTCATTTATTTCTCTAAAGAAATAAGTGTGATCCACTTCTTATCAGTTTGCATAAACACACTTGAAACTTCAGGCATAAGAGGAGGGTAGTTTCTTGCAGTTTCTGAGGGCTTCTCTCTGGAACATCGGAGATGTTAACAGTTGGACCTACACATGCATGCTGCCATAGATAGGTGGATGGTACAGGCACCTCCTATTTCAAGAACACATAGGGAAGTAGGTCTGGATAAGGGCAGACTGCAACCTGATGTCTGCTGCAGTCCTCTCAGCAGGTCAGCTGTATTTATTCCTTCACTTTGCTGATATAGTCAGCGAATTTGCTGACAGTTTCTTCCTGCTGTTCTAGGGCATCTAGGACAATGCCCATCGGTGTCCTCTTCAAACCTATCCCCTCCATTTTATTCTCCAGTTTGTTCTTGAGATTCCGAAGTCTCAACGACGCGTGGATGAACATCACTGTGGGGAAGTGAAACGTGGTTAGTGTGAAAGTAACAGTTCTTTTCCACAACCTAAACGCTCCTGTCTTCACACTTTGGGGAAACCTCGCCTCAGTTAGCTATAGACTAATCTGGTTCTCTAATTGATCCAAGTTCTCAAATGGATCCTTGGACTTGATCCAAAGCTCTTCGTTAAGTCATATATTATGTTTTCTTTGTGTGTGAAGGAAAACCTATATAGCAGGAAGGACCTTAAAATCTGGCAACCACATTCTCGATCTCTCAGGTTGATGTTGTTACCTTTTGGCTGCTACTTAAATGCCTTGGAATCCAAAGTGAATCAACAGGATTCCAATTTACATAAAAACCGACTCACAGCATTTTCCAGAAAGGAACTCACAATCATTTCATGGATTATCTGCATTTGCTTCTCAGCAGGAAGCACACAGGTGAAGTCCACCTAGGACATGCCTCCAAAGTGCTGGATATAGATGTATAGATAAAAACTAAAGGTTTTATAGCTCTCAGGTACCCTAAGGTTCCCCAAATTTGCTTCATCATTCAGAATTACGTTTGCTTATTAAGAAACATTCCCTGGTCCCTCTCCTGGACCTCCTGAACCAAAACCATAAAGAGATGGGCCTGGGGATTTGTATTTTAAACAGGCACAGCAGGAGATCTACATCAGTGATTTTCAAACTCCTATGCACATACATATAAGTCACCTAGAGGGGTTGTTAAAAAGAATTTCAGGTCTCCACCGTCCAAAATTCAGACCAGTAAAACTGTGGTAGGGCTCTACAATGTAAAAAGCCAATATTCACTCTAGATGATTCTCATTTATGTGATCTTAGATGCTCATTTTGAGAAACACTGATGTGCATTGTATCTGGAGGCTCCCAACCCAGACTGGTCATTGGGAACATTTGAGGCACTTTCTAAAAATACAGGTTTTGGCAGCCCCACTGTCAACTCACAGAATCAAGATCTCTAAGGGTTATTAGGGCTGGGCAATCCATATATATATATTTTTTTAAGTGTCATGTATGATTCTGATAATCATCAAGGTCTAGGAGTCACTAATCCTATTTTCCTTATTTTATAGATGAGTGAACTGCAGCCCATATAGGATATCTGGTCCAAATCACATGGCTGGTTTTCAGCAGGTGTAGAAATAGAAATCTGGGCACTTGACTCTCTACCTATGATATATTTCATTAGACTGGCCTGTCTCAGGCCCTGATGTGAAAAGGTATTGAAGTTAACAAGCTGTGTGTCAAAGCAGGATCTTTGAAATACTAAGCCTCTAGCACATAAGGAAAACTTAAGGAATATTTCAAAAAGTCTGAATTTGCTGAATCAAGTATTTTGTCCAATTAAGGATGCCTGGCTGGCTCAGCCAGAAGGGCAGCGACTCTTGATCTTGGGGTCATTAATTCAAGCTCTACATTGGATATAGAGATTATTTAAATAAATAAATATTTGGGATGTCTGGGTGGCTCAGCCGTTGAGCGTCTGCCTTTGGCTCAGGGCGTGATCCCGGATTCCTGCGATTGAGTCCCTCATTGGGCTCCTTGCATGGAGCCTGCTTCTCCTCCCTCTGCCTGTGTCTCTGCCTCTTTTTCTGTGTCTCTCATGAATAAATAAAATCTATAAATAAGTAAGTAAGTAAATAAATAAATAAATAAATATTTAAAAACAAAAATATTTTGCTCAATAAGGTGTGGGATTTATCCATAAATATTCTGGGCATAATCTAACATAACCCCAAACAAACAACTGATTTTATTTAATGAAATAAATGTATATGTGAAATGCTATTAAAAGCTACAAAGGGGCAGCCCCAGTGGCCCAGCAGTTTAGCACCACCTTCAGCCTGGGGCGTGATCCTGGAGACCACCATGTCAGGCTTCCTGCATGGAGCCTGCTTCTCCCTCTGCCTGTCTCTCTCTCTCTCTCTGTCTCTGTCTCTCTCTCTTATCCTGTCATGAATAAATAAATAAATAAATAAAATCTTTTAAAAAAAGTTAAAAAGGATCTTCCCATCACTTAATAGAGTAGAACTTTAATTGGATTTCTGCTGATGAGATTGGAATTCTATCTATTCTCTATCTCAGGTTTCAAGCGTTTGCACAATAACTGATGCATGTACAATTTAGAAGCTACCTAGTTCTTTCCACCAAAATCTGAATACTTGGTAACTACACTGTGGGCCAATTATTCTTAGGGAACTTTGATATTAAACATGATCTACTGAGTAAGCAGAGAGTAAATAGTTTACTTCTAAATGAAACACATTCATTCTTGTGTCACGACATTATGAATAGCACTTTAAGACTGAGAGACTAGAATATTAGACAAATCTGGAGACTGACATAGGCTGTACAGATTTCTTGCCATGGGACTTGGGATGTGTATTTCTTTGTGCATTGTTCTGTCCCCAGAAGAGTGTCGGTCACAGAGCAGGCACTCAATATTTATCTGTGGAATTAGTGAACCATCACACCTTGATCTGCTGTCGCAGAAAATTCTGATAATTTTGCAGACATGCTGACACACATAAAGAACAGGTTAGGTAATTTCCAATGAACAATCGTTCCTATTTGGTGGGTGGAGGGATTGGGGTTTTTTATGGCATAAGAAAAGAAGACTGAGGTTCACTTACGCAACAAAGGAAAAGTGATGCCAAACACAAAGACCATGACTCCCCCAAACATGGATATGAGGAAGTAGCTAGCCAACATGACCACCATGACAAATGTTGTGGGATACTGCTTCTTCATCCGCCGGAGAATGTCTTTGTTGTGGGCCGCCCACACAAACCCCGTGAACACGAGCACCACAACAATGCCTCCAAGGATCATGTTGAAGGGGCTCAGAAACCTGGAATATGAAGAAAAGAGGGAGACTAGGTCAGAAGTGGTAGCAGCAGGAGGTGAAGATGGGGAAGGTGAGGAGTCAAATCATTAATCAGTAAGTTGAGTACTTACTCAGCATTTTACCTAAATGGTCTCATTTAATCCTTATAACGTGATGAAGTAGATACTCTTTATTCATTTCTCAAATGAAGAAAATGAGGCATGGAGGTGAGAAAATGGTGGAGCCAAGATTGACATTTGGGAAGTCTGACATCTCCAAACCGGTCCATCTTATTAGAGACCCACAATTTTCAAAGACATTCCCTCCTCCCCGCCTCAAAATCCATACGTGGCTTTTATAGCATTTTAAAACATACCACAAATGAGCATCTTGCTGTTTCTGTAGCTTCGATCTTGTTTGTCACCTAGCTGAATGGTTTTTTCCAGAAACACGGGTACCATCCACCACTTTTTTTTATATCTTTGTTTTCAACTGCTGTGGTTGCTGAACCAGAGCAGCTGAATTTGATACATGTTCAATGTTGTTTCCTTCAAGAATTAACTTATTCTCCTGGGCTTGAGATGCCAAATAAGCAAGGCCTGGCCTCCTCTGAACCCTGCGAATGTATTTTTCACCCATGAAATTTTGGATTTCAACAAGAGCTCCATTCTCCTGGATAACAACGTTGCTGGGGAAGAGAGCATATGCAGAACTTGGCTTGTCATGGAAGGGCCCAGTGTAATGCCCTTGGTCACGTTCTGTACATGACTCCAGATAGTATGAGCAGTGGCCTGTCTCCATCTCTTTCCCCCAGTTTGTTAGCCCCGAGCTGCTGCTTTCTCCTTCCAAGGAGAGTGAGTTCCATGCTAATGTGACTGAAGTCTCCCCACAGGATCTTGTGGGGTCTTTCACAATACTTGTGTGTCCCTGCAGAGTGATGCTGACATTTACTGGAAATCAATAGTCCGACTGCTGAGAATGGTCTTCATTCTCACCGTAAATGCAGCAAAGAGCTAAGAGGCTTTTAAAATTTAAGAGAAACCACCTCTTTTGGAGGGATTGTTTTATTACATCCTGGGCTCTAGTACACACCCAAGACAGTGCTCACGTATTTTCCAAGCTCTTCAGGTTTATTTAAATTCTCATAGGAGCTGCCATGACAGATGTACATGATGGCCTCCAAGGGCCAGATCCAGTCTACTATCACATTTGTCTTTGGATCGCAGTGTTTAAAAAAACTTGTATTTGAACCCTGACGTGTTTTTTTTTTTTCCTGACGTGTTTTAAAAAAAATCCACACAACTTGGGATTTCTAGCTTTTCCTGTAAATGAGAAAAATCTAAGAGTAGGCCCACTTTACCACATGTCAACAACTGGCTGGAGCACCTTCTCTTTCAGATAGAACAAATATTCTCCAATTAGCCTCCATCCCTACCACCATCTACTGCATTTCTGACACAGAGGCCCTCAGTGAGCCACCATTCATCACTGCTTCTCTAATAGCTGCCCTGCATTGTTCTCTTACATCACCCGTCTGGCCCATGGAGGTATTTGAGTTTATGACTCCAGGCACAGAAAATCCATTCTAATTCTTTAAAAGGGCCGAGAGTGTCATTAGGAGATGGGTTATCAACTGAGATCTCCAAGCACAGAGCCTATGACTTCATTGTTACATGAGCCAAAGTTTACACTACTGTAGATACTAAAGAGGAAAGTTAGACCCAGTGTTTCATAAGTGAGAATGACTGGGTGTGGTAGCCCCCACTGCCACCCCAACCAACTATGCACACAGAACCCTTAATATGACATTTGTACATGAGTTACTAACTTTTTAACCCTCACAACAGGCTTAATGGTATTTACTCAGGAAGGACAATGAGGGTCAGTGTGTTTTTATCACGCTCTGAATATCAATGTGACCAATTTAGAAAGGAGGGATGGGGGGGGGCGGGAATGGGAGGTGATGCCAAGAACTTGCTTTTTCTGAAATAGAACAGATGAAGGATTCAGACTTAGAGTAGGATTCATATTTGGGATAACTAAGATTCTTTTTTAAATAATCCCTTTACATTGTAGCTCTGATTCTGCCTTCTGAAACACAAAAGCTATCTGAAATAGTTTCAAATAAGACTAAGAAGTATTGCATACCTTAATGGGCAAATCAGGGACATAATCAATGTGAAACTACTTAGGAAAAATTAAACATTTCTATTAAAATGCATGGAATTAAACAGTGGCAAAAGCAGTGTAGTGCTTAGTACTACATAACTTAAAGTTAAGCCCTATAATAGTAAGTTGCTTATTTCATTCAAATCTCTTGCAAATATTCATCCCCTTCTAGGCAATAAATCTCTTCCTCAGAATAAAATCTAAGGAAATAAATACAAAATGCAAAGATTGGGTTGTAACAATATTCACGAGTGGTATTTATGATTAAAATATTTTAGAAATAACGTATATGGCCACCAATTTACTAGAAGTGGTGCAGCAATTTTAAAATAATAATATGGGAAGACATTAATAATCTATCGAGTGGGTAAAAGAAATCATAATACATTCTCTCTGTTAGATTTATATATGTTACGTAGCTTAGAAGACAAGATTTTTACAATTAGTATGTTATTTTGTAATCAGAAATAAAATGAACATCCAAGAAAAGAAAATATAAAAGTAACTGGTTCCTAGTCTACGACCCAGGCTTGGCATAGGCCAGCTACAACAGCCCACCTTTATTTCCGTCATCTCTCCAATAACATTAATGCGATTGCAATTCATATGCCACAGCGAAGCTGTTCTTTCTTCCACACAAACCTTGGTTCCCTACCGATTCTCCAGATCCTCTTGTGGCCAGGTGCACCACCCCACTCCCCCAAGCTTTCCCAGCATCCAGCAGTTGAACTATTCTGTGTGTCCTTCATCAGTTCTTTATCATCTGGGTCCAGAGTCACTCTGTACTTTTTCTGTTTTAAAATTTGAGCTGGGGAAACCCCGGTAGCTCAGTGGTTTAGCACCGCCTTCGGTCCAGGGCATGATCCTGGAGACCCAGGATCGAGTCCCACATCGGGTTCCCTGAGTGGAGCCTGCTTCTCCCTCTGCCTGCATCTCTCTCTGTGTGTCTCAGGAATAAATAAATAAATAAATAAATAAATAAATAAATAAATAAATAAATAAAATTTGATCTGGGTTATACCGTCCTTCTGCCCAGATCTGGGAAAGACAATTATAGGCCTGGAGAATGGAAGAACTGGATAGGGCAAAAACAAAATCTTTTTTAGCAGGTGGTAAGGAAACTGGGTGGAGAGGCCCAGAAACTGTCACTGATTAATAAATCTCATTCCTAGCACCCAGAAGATTCCGAAAGAAATTATACTGAAAGACTAGAGTGTTTATGTTGGGTAGTAGTAGCATCATGGGTAGTTTATTCCCATTTGTTTATTAGCTTCACCCAAATATTTTTGAGCTGTCAAGAAAAGCAAAGATCAACATTAACTCAAAAAACTAGAGTGGAGGGTTCAAGGTTAACAAAACTGCTTTGCATAAAGCTGCAAATAAAAGATGGCTGGTTGGTAGCAAAGTAGCAAAGGTACCCTACTCAGTTCTTTGTAGAATACCTATTAAAATAATTCATGAGGTGAAGCATATAATAAAAGTATGCCAAGCTTTGTCTATTTTCCTTGGGACAAGCAAAGCAGGCATCTATGTTGAATGTCTAAATAAAGCCCAGGACAAAGAACTACAAAAAATCCAGGCCTGACTCAAGCAATTCCAAATTTGCTTTTCACCTGTTCCTGTTGCTCATGGTTAAGAGCAAAATGAACAGAGCACAGAGCCCTATAGAACTGGTTTTAGCTTACAACACACCCAGCCACAATCTATAATTAGAAAGTAACCAAGTTTCCAAGCTGGAAAAAATGAGCAAAGTTACTCGGAGCACAAATGGTCTTTCTTCCTTTATTAAGTGCCATTTCATTCTAACAAAGAGTAAAATCTGTACCACTCCAATGCCTTGGCACCTACTTGCACTTGGAGGAAAATAAAACATTGAAATGAGTTTCATTTCATTTTCCAGGGAGTGCAGGGACTTGGGAGGCAGTTCTCATCTGAGAGGGAGGGAAGCTTTTTCAAAGTCAACAGCTGGGCTCTCTTGTCACTCCAGTCTCAAGGGAGCCCAGGAAACCTTAGGTAAAAACTCCCACAAATATGTGGCCCCAGCTTCCAAGGAGACCATTGCCACTGGGCTCTGGGGGGTAGAGTTTCATTTACTGGTATACTCCCCCCGCGGCCCCCCCCTCCCCATGAGGAAGTGTATAAGGAAGGGAGGCAGGAAGATAAAGGGAAGGGAGGAGGACAGAGAGGGGAGAGAGGACAGAGGGAGAAAATGTGGCTTTCCATCCTTGATGGAAATAGGACCTAGTTTAACAAGCCAAAAGCATTCAATGTTTTTCTCTTGTGAGATAAAAATATATACCTACATACATATACATCCTATTCCATAAGAAAGTAACTGAGTAAATAAATAAATCACTGCAATGGTTAAAAATTCTACTGGAAATATTGATGGTTGGAAAAAGGTTTACAATCCCATCACAGAATCCTGTAGCAGAGCATTCAAAGATTCAGTCCCATTACACAGATGAATAAACTGACAGCCTGGAGAAGTGAGGAGACATATTCGAAGGGGTCTAGGGGAGAGAAAAGGGTACCAGCTGATGCAACCGTGACAGCAATTCATAATGTAACCCCTTGTGTGTTGTTAAGCAGCTTCAGGAATCTGCCTCCCCCTCCCCCACACCCACCCATTCTCAGTATCCTTCCAGTTGGGATCAGCAGCGAAGGGGCATTCTGGGAAATCCCTCAGCATTCCCGTTTCTCTCTGAAGGAAGGTGGCTATCAGCAGGTGTGGACACATGTCCTGAATGTGCCAACATGATTCAGCTAGCTAGAGCTACAGTTTCAGCACAAGTTCTTCTTGAAGGGTGAAAAAACAAACAAACAAACTTGGCTGAAAATGGAATTTTAGGGCT